TTTTGAAAAGTGAATTAAATTCCTTTGAAATAACAAATTATTTAACTAAAAAATAAAAATAAAAATATTAGATGAAGTTTGGAAATTGTTGAAAATTTAAGGAATCATAAATGTTAGAGATTCAGTTTTCGTTTGAATTCCGATTTTGTCCATCTATTAATGTTATGCCGTTATAATGTCACCATAGGCTTTTGATGGAACATATTGAGAAAGTTCTTTGACTTTGTTTTATTATATATTAGCAGATGGGCACACGTAGAAACTTACATTTGAAAGATGGTAAAAGATATATGTTTTCACTCCAAACAGGGCAAAAGATCTGAGTGACTAAAAAAGTTGTCTTTGAATAATGTTGATATCACGTATAATTATTGCTCGAGTCAACATTTTTCGCGACGAATGAATATATAAATAAACTTCAAATCGACAAATTTATACATTAAAGAGAAAGGAAGTTGAGGTATTATTGGAAATTAGAGCATCGAGATGCCAAAGCTTTTCCATAAAATAATGCATTGTCGCCATTTTGAAAGGAATACATGTTAGCCATTTGTTTGCAAACTCCTTCCACTTTCACCACATGCATAGCTAGTTTTGACGCCTATTTATTTTCCAAGACTAAAGTGCTACGAAATAAATGTTACAAATTCAAAATACAAAGGACATTAGAGACCAAAAAAATAGAGAAACTGAAATTGAAAGAAGAAAGTTAAAGAAAAGTCATAAATGATTGTTGACACCTAATTTTAGCTTATAAGTCATTTAAGGTAAAAACACTCAATATTAGGGTTTTTGACTGTGACAGGGCTGGCTTCTTAATCAAAAAGAGTTGTTTTAGTGTTTTTTGAGTTTATTTCAATTCCACTGTTTTTTAGGTAAACCAAGACATTTATTTCACCAATAATACAAAGAAGTCTTTAGAGTTGACTTTTGGTCAACCACCGAAGTAAACCACTCGTCAACATTTTTCAAAAATTCGACACAATAAAAAAATCATCAAATCACTTCCTTTGATGCTTAACTAAACTTCTAGTTCGTCGATTTTGCAAAAATCGTTCAAGAATCGACTTTATGGCCAAATTGAGAATTTTGATTTTTGATCAACAAAATTCAAAATACATTGATTTCTAGTCATTTTTTAAGATTTGTTCCTTCACAACAGTTGATCCTGAGGTTATAACGCAGTCAATTTTCAAGCCAAAATTTTCAAAATCACACTTAAGACAGGCAAGCCGATTTCCGAGTGCTAATTAGGGGTCCCGATAAGTTCTTCATGAGTAATGTCAATTAGCCCAATTTGAATCCGATGAAATCCAATTAACTCATTTCCAATGTCAATTTTCACAAAATCACAACAATTTAGCTTAATTTGACCAAAATAGTGGGCAATGATTGATAAATTCAGGATGGTCGACCCAATTGATCCAATTTAGTTTGACCCATGTTGGGTTGGAGCCCAATTTGATCAATTGAACCTCAATTGTGTATGACAGCTTAATTGGAAGCCACATTTCCGTTGATCGCCAATGGATATACCAGCAGGTACTCTACCGGTTCTCTTCTTGCCTTCTTTTCTTCACAGGTTGTTGTGGTTCCATTGAATTGCAAAAGCCGAGTATTTGGATCAAATTCCGGTGTGATGTAGAACAGTTAGCCTGTGATTATCTGAAACAATGTGGTCGCCGTAATCACCGGAAATTTCGGCAATTTTTCTGATTTTGGGGAAAACAACCATTCAGGCAATTTCCTATATTATCATTTAGGCAGTTTCCTAAATTACCAGTCAGGCAGTTTCCTATATTACCATTCTGGCAGTTTCCTATATTAGTTTATTAGATGTTATCTTTAATTATTCGGTTTTCATTAGTATTAGGAGTCCTATATCTACATATAAGATGTCTGTCTTGTAATCAAGATCACAATATTATTGAATAAAAATTTTGAGTTCTTTGGAGTTGTTCCAAATTTACGCTTTCTCTCTGCGTCATTTGGTATCAGAGCAGATTTCTCCTGTGACGATGGTGAATAACGTGAATGTCAATCTCCCCGCTGCTGAGGGCCGTGAGAACGAGCCTATTACGCGAGCTGAGTTCAATCAGTTCGTGGATCAAACCGATCGGAAGTTTCAAGAGATCCTTGATGCCATCCAGCGTTTGTCCACAAACCATGCGCCTGGCAATCTTCCAGCCGAGCGAATTCCTGTCGCTCGTGATCCCGAAGATGCTATGGGGCGTGGAGGAATTCCCCGACAAAGGCATCAAGACTATGTCGAGGATACGGAAGACGAAGACGATGATTTCCAGGAGATGCAAATTCATGGTGGTCGCCGATACAGGGGATTCCAGGAGGAGCATGTCCGTGGGAATCGACGTCAGGGAGGATATCGACGAGATCCTGAGCAGTATCGACTAAAGGTAGATCTCCCTACTTTCAATGGGAATTTGGATATTGAAGATTTTCTTGATTGGCTTTGGGAGGTCGAAAAATTCTTCGACGCTATGGATATTGACAAGGATCGCCAAGTGAAACTTGTGGCGTACAAGTTGAAGGGTGGCGCTTCAGCTTGGTGGGAACAGACTCAATTGACGCGACGTCGACAAGGCAAGGCTCCTATTCGATCATGGGGTCAGATGACACAAAAGTTGAAGAAGAGGTTCCTCCCAACGGACTATGAGCAACTGTTGTTTCAGCAATTCCAGAATTGCCGACAATTGAATAGATCGGTCCAAGCTTATACGGAAGAGTTCCTTCGACTCTCTGCTCGCAATAGCCTGGATGAGTCCGAGGCACAACAAACTGCTAGGTACATTAATGGTTTACGACTTAATATCCAGGATCGGGTTTCTTTGCATCGACTATTCTCTGTCAAAGACGCCCAGGATATGGCGCGAAAAATTGAGGTGCAATTGGAGAGGACTAGCCCTAGTACTCGTGGTAGCAATTATTTGGGTCGTGGGTCATTCGGGAAAGGAAGACAGCCTGATGTTGCAAGTTCTTCTAGTCAACAAACACCTGATTCGAGCCGAGTTCCAAGGGGTACTACTGGGACGCCTAAGGAAGCAGTCGCAGCAAACAATCGCACTCCCAATCAGAATACCCAGAATCCATATGCCAAGCCCCAACCGATCAGGTGCTACAAGTGTAACGAGTTGGGCCATCGTTCCAGCGATTGTCCTCGTCGTAGAATGGCCAATATCGTTGAACATGACGAAGATGTGTATGAGGAAGATTGGGAAAATGAAGAAGAAGTGGGAGTGGAAGATGAAGTGGGCGAGCAAGTTAATTGTGTAGTGCGTCATCTATTGCTTACTCCGCGGACAGAAGATACCCAACGGAATCAGCTTTTCCGCGCTCGCTGTACTGTCAACGACAAAGTATGCGATATCATTATTAACAGTGGAAGTTGCGAGAACATTGTGTCAAAGGCCTTGGTGGATCACTTGCAACTAAAGACGGAGCCGCATCCCGCGCCCTACACGATCGGGTGGATACGCAAGAGAGCAGAACTTAAGGTAAACCAATTATGCCATTTGCCTATTTCAATCGGAAAATCATATCAAGATACTATTGTCTGTGATGTTGTGGAGATGGATGCGTGTCATGTTTTACTAGGTCGACCATGGCAATATGATGTTGATGCTACACACCGAGCTAGGGAGAATACGTATTCTTTTGTGTGGAAAAGGACTAAAATTACTTTGAGACCGAAGAGTAATTCCCCTCAGATTGTGAAGAAGCAGAATGCAAGGGTTATGATGAACATCCGAAAGCGTGAAGGGATGTATATAATTGTGGACAAGGGCGACCAGCAAGTTGTGATTCGTGTTCCCGATATTCTTAAGCCCTTATTAAAGGATAATCAGATTCTACAAGAGCAGGTGGGAGAGCTCCTTCGAAAGGGCTTCTTGCGTGAAAGCAAAAGTCCATGTGCAGTTCCTGCGCTTCTCACGCCAAAGAAAGACGGCACCATGCGTATGTGTGTAGACAGTCGTGCCATTAACCGGATTACTGTCAAGTATAGGTTTTCGATTCCACGACTTGATGATATGCTAGACAGACTTGCTGGATCACGGATTTTTACGAAGATCGACCTTCGAAGCGGATACCACCAAGTTCGCATCCGTCCTGGCGATGAATGGAAAACGGCCTTCAAGACAAGTGCAGAACACCTCTTGTTTTTGGGTTTTGTTGTTGGCGCGGATGGACTTCGCGTTGATGCAGATAAGGTGGCCGTGATTCGGAATTGGCCAGTTCCAAAGAATGTTGGCGAGGCTCGAAGTTTCCATGGTCTTGCAACATTCTATAGGCGTTCAATTCGAGATTTCAGTACTATTATGGCCCCGATCACTTACTGTTTAAAAAAGGGCAAATTCCATTAGGGAGATGAAGCTTCGACCAGTTTTGCTCTTATAAAAGAAAAGCTCTCCACGGCGCCGGTATTGATGCTCCCTGATTTTGAGAAAGTGTTCGAGCTGGATTGTGATGCTTCCGGCATCGGGATTGGCGCTGTCCTTTCCCAAGAAGGTAAGCCTATAGACTTCTTTAGTGAAAAACTTAATGAAGTTTGCCAACGTTGGTCAACGTATGAGCAGGAATATTATGCTGTCGTGCGAACTATAAAGCATTGGCAGTCCTATCTTTATCAGCAGGAATTTGTTCTTAACACCGATCATCAGGCTCTTAAATATATCAAGAGTCAGAAGCACTTAAATCGAATGCATGCACGATAGGTTTCTTTTCTGGAGCAATTTAATTTTGTGCTTCGTCACAAAGCAGGCCATTTAAATAAAGTGGCAGATGCGCTGAGTCGACGTGCTGCGACACTCGTGACCATGTATACTGATGTTGTCGGTTTTGATCACCTATTTTCTCTTTATCCTGAGGATGATGATTTTGGTGAGATATGGGAGAAGTGTTCTGAAACAAGTTGTCATGGCGATATGATAATTCAAGAAAATTTCTTGTTCCTTGGCAATAGATTATGCATTCCACGTGGTTCCTTACGTGAACAACTCATTCGAGAGCTTTATGGTAGTACTCTCGGCGGACATTTGGGGCGAGATAAAACTATAACCTTGGTGGAGGAGCGGTACTATTGGCCTCAACTGAAGCGAGACGTGGGGCGATTTGTCAGTAAATGCTACATTTACCAGACTGCTAAGGGCCACTCTCAGAACACTGGTCTTTATACCCCATTGCCCATTCCTTCGGGTCCTTGGGTAGACATATCGATGGACTTCGTGTTGGGACTTCCTCGCACTCAACGGGGTTTAGATTCTGTTTTCGTGGTGGTTGACCGATTTTCAAAGATGGCGCACTTCATCCCTTGTAAGAAAACTTCGGATGCTTCGCATGTGGCAAGTTTATTCTTTCGTGAAGTAGTCCGTCTCCATGGTGTACCGAAGACAATCACTTCCGATCGTGACACGAAATTTCTGAGCCATTTTTGGCGTACTTTATGGCGTTTGTTTGGGACTGATTTACAGTATGGTAGTTCTTTTCATCCCCAAACGGATGGTCAGATAGAAGTTGTGAATCGTACTATGGCGGATATCATTCGCTGCCTCTGCAGTCATATGCCTAAGCAATGGGACCGGTATCTTGCTCCTGCTGAGTTCGCCTTCAACAACTCGGTTAACCGCTCTACCGGTACATCTCCCTTTTAGGTCGTTTATGGGCGTACACCACAGCATACTCTGGATTTGGTTCCCTTGGCCAGGATTCCAGGCTATAGTGTCGCGGCAGAGAATTTGGCAACCAGAATTAATGAAGTCCAAGCTGCTATGGCTAGTCAATTGGCTGCTTCTAATTCAAAGTATAAGGAGGATGCTGACAAACGGCGGCGTTCGAAAATTTTTGCGGTAGGCGATGAGGTAATGGTTTTCCTGCGAAAGGAGCGTTTTCCTGTAGGTACCTATAATAAACTGAAGCACAAGAAGATTGCTCCTTGTCGCATCTTGAAGAAGATCAACGACAATGCCTATGTAGTTGAACTTCCTGGTGATCTCAACATTTCCCCTACATTTAATGTGGCAGACTTATTTGAGTATCATTCTCCCGATACACCCCTCTATCCTAATCATAACTCGAGGGCGAGTTTTTCCGAAGAGGGAGGGAATTGATGTAGAACAGTTAGCCTGTGATTTTCTGAAACAATGTGATCGCCGTAATCACTGGAAATCTCGGCAGTTTTTCTGATTTTAGGGAAAACAACCATTCAAGCAATTTCCTATATTATCAGTCAGGCAGTTTCCTATATTACCAGTCAGGCAGTTTCCTATATTACCATTTAGGCAGTTTCCTATATTAGTTTATTAGATGTTATCTTTAATTATTCGGTTTCCATTAGTATTAGGAGTCCTATCTCTATATATAAGATGCCCGTCTTCTAATCAAGATCACGGTATTATTGAATAAAAATTTTGAGTTCTTTGGAGTTGTTCCAAATTTACACTTTCTCTCTGCGTCACGGTGCCTGGCCATACTCCCAACCTTCACTTCAGCATGAACCTGCACTGCAGCATCGCCAGATAGATGGGTACATCTTTTTAATGCCACCAGAGAACCAAGAAGCAAAATTCCTCTGTAGACCTTACCAAACCCACCTTGGCCCAAAACATTCTCTTCGCTGAAATTGTCAGTCGCGACTTGCAGTTCCTGGTAAGTAAATTTTCGAAGCTGTACCTGAGGCCGAAGCAATTGGAGATTCGAGTCGTCGGAGGATTGCTTCGGCCTCCAACAAGAAACCTCGACGGCAGGGGCAATGAACCCAAGAGAAGCGCCTTCAGCAACTCTGCCCGCAACCGCGAAAGCTCTGGTGAAGCTCTTGCCAACTGGAAGGCAAACGGTGGATGACGGAGAAGTAGGCGTCGAAAACAGATTAGAAACATCGACATCCTCAGTGAGATCAATGGTGTAAAATTTGAAAACCATCTTTCTGATGCAACAATATTGCTAGTATGTGTTTCTATGGTTCACGCTCTGAAAGTGTGGAAGATTTGATTTAAATGGAGCCTATGCCCCCGGTTTCACGTAAACTGGGTTGTTTCTAGGTAACATCTTGGTAGGTACCTGATGAACTTATTAGCACCGGAAGTATCACTGAAATTTTCTTTCTTCGTGTTGGGACAAGTCAAACCAAATCCTGTTGCAACCTAACGCGCAACTGTGAGGGGTACTGAGACTACGAGTTATGCTTCGTATGGGTCTATTAGTAGGGACTAGGGAAACTCGGCGTGAGGACAAAATCTGTTCCTAAAACCATTGATCTGAAAAATACGCCTACCGACTCAAGATCGATTATTAATGTTGATAATCTTGAAAAAATCAGCAACAATTTTTGGGCGCTTTGACAGATTTTGCACTAGAGTGGACATTGGGAATTTCTTTTAGACGAAAAAAGTTCGGGACAGAATCGAAATTAGACTTAAAGTTTGAGGTTGCTTAGGAAGTCGAGATTATTTCTCTAATTGAACACTTTTCATGAATTCAATGTTTGCTAGGTCGAATTGTTCAATCAAGCACACTGACTTAGAGTACTTCGAATTTTCGGAACATATCAACATGTAACATTCATTCACCAATTAATCACCTATCAATTTCTAGACATGAAGTGTTGAACATGCATCCTTCTAGGTCTACATTCAACAACACAGCAACATTAATGGCTGTAGGGGAAACATATTCCTAGATAAACATATTCGAAACATATTCTAACAATGCGGAAAACGTGCCCGATAATCGTCAACTTCTTTCACCGATCGTACAGGTATATCACATAAAGAACATACCTTGATTCCATGGATTAAATGCCTCCAATCGCACGTTCGAGAGTTCCTCAGATCGCACTTCGGGGTTTAGGAGCAAAGAGGAAAACATCGTCTTCTACAGAACGTCAGAACGTCATCCTCATTCTGTGATTGTGATTACATTCATTTTTTCCTTTCTCATTATTGCTCTATTTATCTCATGAGATTTATTTCCCCATTAAGACCGCTGATAGCAGTTACGTGATTCTTGAGTGATTGCCACAACAATTACTTAAGATGGGCCCTTATGATGAGTCATGGGCTGGGCTAGCCCGACATGGGCGGTCCGCAGATTTGGGTGGCTCACCCATATAAATATCCATCATCTTCCACTCACCCATGATGGGCTAAGCTTATCTCTCTCTTTTCTACAAAGTTCATATCGACAAATAATCTGTGCAACCAGCATACATCGAGGCATCATTGCCATACATCTATTAGGAGATATAGCAGCTCAAATTGGACATTATCAGTCAGAGTAGATGTAGTATTCAGTACCTTAGATCGATATGTCACATTTATATCTGCTTGATCTCTTTTAATATCTCGTATATTGTATTCACAATTATAATTTACTCAAAATCATAATTGGTCGATCCGTGAATATAAAATAGAATGTGACATCATAAACAAATTGATCTTCCTCTTTCCTTAAACCTCTCCATTTCAGTCCAGCTCGCTTTTCTAGAAGTGCCCCATTAGACCGAATTATCATGATCATCGGTAACACCTTAAGATAGCAAACACTTAATAGAAATTTTGAGAATAAGTAAGAGTCGTAAGGGGACTTAATTGAGGAATCATTTTTCCTCAAGGGTCTCACATGGCTTAAAAGTTGAAATCATAACTTTTGCCAACTCTTATTGGTCGTTTCATGCATACGTGATATGAATTAAGTATTACGGCATTTTCTCTTTTCCCATGGAGCGTATGTCTTTACTCTCAATACTGTATAGATGATAGTTCAGACATACCCAATGTCTAATTTGAGTTCACAAATCTACTCTGTTTATAAGCATCTATCAAAACTCACATCTGGCATAAGAGACAGGTAAAGTGAAATTAGTGGGTCATTTCACTTTTGGACATAATAAACTATATGTCCTCATAGGCGACATCCATGCTTCAAGCTTGAACTCTTAATTATCACATAGATAATAAGCTTAAAACTGTCTCATCTCTATTCATCATACAGTTAGTAGAGGCGATTGTCCGTGTGAGTGGGCTAATCTCTCATCTATCCGACATACCTTTTCAATATAATGTACTTAGCACCGACATTCATTAATGTCATATAAACTCATAGGCATTGATAATAACAAACTTCATGAACAGTAAACATTTAGGGAAAATTACAATATTCAGTACATCATATTCTACACAGTCCTAGAAATCTCACATGGCCATGGAAAACTTATTTAGGAATTGGCTTTGTCATAGGATCTGCTTTCATCTTTTGTGTAGATATGTAATGCACGTTCACTTCCTTTCGTGCAACCATGTCCTTAACATAATTATACTTGATATTTATATGTTTGTTCTTTTCATGGTACTTGGGATCCTTAGTGTATGCTATTGCTGCTTGGCTATCGCAATAGACCAATACTGGCTTTGCAGCATTCTCAGCAACATCTAAGTGATCCAAAAATTTTCCAAGCCAAATAGCTTCTTGTGCCGCTGCTGATAGAGCCACGAACTCAGCTTCCATTGTCGATAAGGCTACACACTACTACTTCTGACTGCTCCAAGATATGACGCCATTATTCAGTAAGAACACATATCCAGAGGTAGATTTCCATTCGTTTAAATCTCCTCCCCAGTCAGCATTAGTGTAGCCTTCAAGGTGCAATCACTTCCTTGATAAGTCAGCACATAGTCGGCACTTCCCTTTAGATACCTCAAGATTCTCTTGACGACTGTCCAATGTGCTTGACCTGGATTAGATTGGTATCTACTTACCATTCCAATTGCATAACAAATATCAGGTCTTGTACACATCATAGTGTACATCAAACTTCCAACAGCACTAGCATATAGAACATGTTCCATTTGCTCCTTATCTTGTAGAGTCTTAGGATATATTCTATCGCTCAATGCTTCGCCCTTTGCAATAGAAGTATCTATTGGTTTACAGTCTTGCATAAGAAATCGTTCAAGGATTTTATTCACATACGTTTCTTGTGAAAGGGATAAAGATTTCTTTGATCAATCTCTTGAAATCTTAACTCCAAGAATGTATGCAGCCTCACCCATATCTTTCATCTCAAAATTGGAAGATAACCAATTCTTGACTATATTAACAAACTCCATACTACTTCTGGCAATTAGTATATCATCAACATATAATGATAAGATTACAAATTGATTTTTGGATCTTTTGATATATACACAATTGTCTTCACTTATCGTTACAAAATCATTTGTCATTACAGCATTGTAAAAACGTATATACCATTGTCTCGAAGATTGCTTAAGGCTATATATCGACCTCAATAGTCAATACACCTTTTGCTCTTGACCTTTTGTAATAAAACCAATAAGTTGTTCCATATAAATTTCTTCCTCTAATTCTCCATTGAAAAATACAGTCTTTACATTCATTTAATGTAATTCAAGATACATACAAGTTACTATTGCTAGAATAAGGCGAATAGAGGTAAATCTTACCACAGGAGAAAAAGTTTCTTCAAAGTTAATTCCTTTCTGTTGATTATACTCTTTTCCTACAAGGCGAGGCTTATATCTTTCAATCGAGCCATTAGCTTGATGCTTTATTTTGAGAACCTACTTGTTCCCCATGGCTTTGTGTCCTTTTAGAAGATCAATCAATTTCCAAACTTGGTTTGATACCGTTGACTCCATTTCCTCTTTCATTGTAAGTATCCACTTTTCCTTGTCAGGGCATGTTAGAGCCTCATTTACATTCCTTGGCTCATTCTTATCTTGTGGAGCTACTATGAAAGCTTCCCCTTCAATGTCAAAACGTTGACGGGGAATATATTTGCCACTTGTTTGTCGTATAGGAGATTATACTTTTGGTATATTATGTTCCATTGTGCTGCCACTCGGATTAGATAATGATGATACGTTTGATCAAGTGGTTGCATTTAAGACTGGCTCAGAAAAGATCCTTCACTTCTCACATTGCTCCCATTTGGGTCATTATCACAATTCAAGATTTTAAATAGAGAGTAGTCAACACCTATTTCGCCTATCTTAGGAAATTCATCTCTAAGAATGTGACATCTCGTGATTCGAATTCAGTTACACTTCCACTTTCTTGTTCACCTATGAACACATACCCCTTCGAGTGCTCTGAGTATATTATAAAAATGCTCTTTTGCCTCTTGGACCCAATTTTTCATACTTGTAAGAGGCCTTGTGGGTATAGGCAACACAACCCCAAGGTTTAAGAAAACTCAAATCGGGTTTTCTACCTGTCCATAACTCATATGGAGTAGAATTAACTGATTTAGAAGGCACACGGTTAAGTATATAGATAGCAGTCAATAAAGCATCACCCCAAAAGGTAATAAGTAGGTTAGCTTGTGCTATCATAGACCTAACTATTTCCATTAGGGTTCTGTTTCTCCTCTCCGCTACACTATTTTGTTGAGGAGTATATGGAACAGACAATTATCTTTCTACTCCTTTTTCATCACATATATTTATGAACTCATCAGATAAATATTCTCGACCTCGATCGGATCTTGTCTAACTAATTTTCCACTAAAGTTATAAATTTCTTAAAGCAACTCAATGCTTCAGACTTATGAGAAATCAGATCAACATGTCAAAATCGAGTGTAATCATCTATGAAAGTGATGCAGTAGATAGCCCCATGCCTTGCTCTTACATTCATTGAACCACAAATGTCTGCGTGGATTAATTGCAAAGGAAACTCAGCTCTTGTTCCTTTTCCAAATGGTTTCCTTATTTTTCCCGCTAGGCAATGCTCACAAACAGGCAAATCGACTTTTTCAATATTGTCCGATAAGCCCTCTTTGGCTAATCTATTCATTCGCTGTTGGCCAATATGACCAAGTCTAGTATGCCATATATTCACATCATTGTCATAAGATTTAAAAGATGCAAATAGGGAATAACAAACATTCACATTACTATATTCAACATCCAATATAATAAAACCATATAGGAAATGTCCTGAACCATAATAACTCATACTTAAAAACAAGTCAACACCACTGTTATGGACATTCAAGCTAAAACCAAGTTTAACTAACACTAATATATGAACAAGATTTCGACAAATTTCTAAAGCATACAGGAACAAGGTGCGACCACCACACATCTTCAATTGGCAGGTGCCAATCCCTTTGACTTTTGCTCTAGAGTTGTTCCCCACATAAATCCATCTCGCTCCATGTGGAATTCGTCAAAACTCTACGAAGGAATCTCTGTTCTTTGCTATATGGTATGTGACTCCCGAGTCTACAGTCCACAAAGGATTAGATTCAGTCAGAAAAACTGAACTTGACACCTAAGTAGTACTCATATGAATAATAAGGGTGTC